TCTCTCTCTCTCTCTCTCTCTTGCTCTCTCTTTTTCTCTTCCTCTCTATCTCGCCCTCACTCTCCCTCCACCATCTCTCTCCCGCCGCGGCGCCGCGCACCGCCTCGCAGTCACGCCAACTTCCTGTGATTTCAATTTGCCGACCACTTAGACCACTCAAGGAAAACATTCGCGAGCTGTTTAACCGCATGGCTGTTTTCTCTCTCTCGCTCTTTTCTCTCTCTCGCGCGCGGTTTACACACGTAAGTGTCGTGTGTGTGCGTGCGTGCTGTGTGCGTGTGTGTGTGTGAGGTGTTGGTGTGTGCGTTGCATGTGTGTGTGTGTGTGTGTGTGTGTGTAGTGTGTGTAGGTGCGTGGTATGTTCCGCCGTGTGGTCTGTGCCCGCTGTGTATGTGTGCATACGCCCCCCCCCCCCGCCTAGTGAGCGGCGACGAAGGTGATGGGGCGGGGGGAGGTGTGCGTGCGTGGGAGGGGTTAGAACGGACCCTTCACCCGGTCCACCGGCGGTGCGCACACAGCACGCAAACACACGCACGCACGCATGCATGCATATCTCTCTATGTACACAGCACACCCGTATGCTTCTCCCCCTGCGTTTGGACGCCTTCATTCTTTCATCTCCACTCAATTTTCAATTAGTGCTCAAACATTTTAAGCCATTTTGCAGACGGGTGGCATTCACGCCGCGCACTAATGGACTACTGGTTATACTGTCAACACGCGGACGCACGCCATCTTTGTTTGAGCTGCATCGAATTTCACGTACTTTCGCATTGTACTGATCTGCCTATTTGCCACACTATTCTTCGCACATAATGAGCGTGTAATATGCGGTGCGCTGGCGCGGCAGTGTTATAGCGTGGCCGGACACGGGTTTCCACTGTCTGCCACAGCAGCACTCGACAAGGACAAGGACACGAGAAGAAAGTAAAAGGTATTTTTAAAACACCTGCGCGACGAGATACAAGACGGTGTAATTAGCACAGAAATCAACGTGGTTTCGATGTAATTAAACACATGAGTGAGTGGGAAATATTTAGTGGGAAAAATTTATTTTATCTATTCATTAGGTGATGGAATTATCTCTGCTAGTTATTGGTCTGCATCATTTGATTTTTGAGTTGGTTTTGGTTGTTTAGGTTTTGCATATAATTTAATTTAATTGTTTAATTTATCTGTATATATATGCATAATAATTTTTGGTACAAAGGAACAGCATAGGATATCGTTTTAATTCATCTATAGTATATATTCCTATGCAGATCTTCTATGCGTATTATAAAGTGACTTGTGGTAATAAACCCCATATATTAATTCTGATTAAATAAATAAAATAATTAATACAAAATTCTATCATTAATTCATATTTAAAATAATTGTTGTTCACTCTGTTTGTAAACATGGCGCATATATAAAATGACAAGTTCTAATCAGGACTGACATATATACGTATAATTATATATATATACATATAGGCCTATTTACTTATTATATATAGATTATTATTATATATAATCTATATATTATATAATTATATATATATATTTATTTATTTATTTATGTATATCTATAAATAAATATATATATATATATATATATATATTATGTGGTTAATAACTACAAAGGAGTTTTGACACGTATTCCGGTACTGATTTTCACTACATTTTCTGTCGGTACGAGTTCGTGTAAATAAAAATAAATATGTATACAAAATGAGCTTCTTTTGTTCACTGGTTCTTATTCTAGCTTCCTTCGTTTTGACATAAATCGTACTTTTGGACGACATGGTTTTCACGTTGTTTACCGTAGTATGGCGTTGCCAGACCACATATTTTGCTACACAGCAACTCAAAGGATTTGTGCGTGCGCGTGTGGTGCGTGGGTGCTCGTGCGTACGTTGCGTGCCGTGCGTACGTGCATGCGTGCGTCTCAGTGCCGTCTGTTATTGTGACGGCGGTGGAGCGTGTCCGCTAGCTGGCATAGGCTTTCTGCTTGCGCGGCGGAACTGCGTTCAATATAAAATTATTGAACATTATGAATAATGTTTAATCACCGGCAAGATTTCCGCCGCCATGTTTGGTTTGGCTGCCCTGCTTATCGGTTGGCGTGAATTCGCACGCTCATGCCGTCCTTTGTTGAACTTCCACGCAGACGCTTGTGCGAGCGCGCGTTTACGCAACCATGTATTGACACGATGATGCGATGAGATAATGAGACCGGGGACGCTTGACAGACGAACCTTTCGACGCTCGCTCAGTCTTTCTTCTCTCCTCTCTCTCTCTCTCTCTCGTCTCTCGCTCTCTCTCTCTCGCTCTCTCTCTCTTCTCTCTGCTCTTCGCTCTCTCTCGTCGCTCTTCGCTTCTCTCTCTCGCGCGCTTCCCTCTCTCTCTCTCTCTCTCGCTCGCTCGCTCGCTCTTGCCCCCTCTCTCTCTACCTTTTTCTCTTTCTCTATTTTTCACTTTTCTTCTCTCTGTCGCTTTTTCTCTCTTTTTTTCCTTCTCTCCAATACGGTAAACAAGAAATTCTTACGGCGCATGCGCGTCCCACGCGGCGCACGAGTAAGGCGGAGATCTGGGGCATGTATTGATTCATCTGATATAAGGACGGATCTGCAGCATAGCGACCCATCGTTCATCCTCAGTCTTGCATCGTCTACCCACTCGCGCACTCATGCCCGGCATTTGCCGCATTATCTTGCCAGTCTCTCAACCCATTCCTGTTCCACGACGTCCCCCAA